CTCCTCACTGACCCGGCTGCTTGGTACGGAACGCATACGCACTACCGCCTACCATCCAGCATCGAATGGTCTAGTTGAAAGGTCTCATAGCCAACTTAAAAGTGCTCTCCGAGCACACGAAAACGACAATTGGTACGAAACCTCACCGCTCGTTCTCTTAGGCATCAGAACGAGTTTGAAGGCAGATATCCAATGTTCCGCCGCTGAACTTGTATACGGCACGACATTGCGTCTGCCTGGGGAATTCTTCACACCACGGAGCAGTAATGATTTCGGTAAATGAGACTACGTCCATCGACTGTCTGCATTTATGCGAACGCTGTCTCCGGTGTCAACTGGAATACAACATCGACAGGTCGCTCTCCCTCGAGAGTTATCTACCTGTTCACATGTTTTCATACGAGTAGATTCGGTACGCAAACCTTTGCAACAGCCTGACGAAGGCCCTTTTCACGTGATCTCTCGTCACGAAAAGACCTTCAAGGTTGATCGACATGGCCGCGTCGAGATCGTCAGCATTGATCGTCTCAAACCAGCACACGTCGATGACAGTGCCCTACCCGATAACTTGAGACTCAATGCTGGACCTATCAAACCTTCTAGCGGGATCTCTACGTCTACCTCAAATCCCGCGCTAGATACATCAGAGACCTCGTTCTCACGTCCCGGTCAACAGCACGCGTCATCTGCACCATCTACGGACGAGACTTCCGTCTCACGTCCAGATCGGCAGACCACGCCGCCCTTGACCTCGGATGAGATCGCAGGCTCACGAAGTACGAACGAGACCACCGTCTCACGTTCCGGTCGCCGAATACGATTACCCGTACGCTTTCGCGACTAACCGCACAGTCAATAACAGATACGGTGTGGGATTATTTCTATACTTCACGCATGCTACACTTTTCTTTTTTTAATTTTTTTTTTGTATCCTGAGCCCACGCCTCCGACCATCGCCGTTCGGTAACGTCGACTTCAATCAACTTTGGCAAGAGCTGGTTCGGCCACCCACGCTCTAGTCAACGCACTCAGTCGATTATCTGGTTTCGAATTCGCCTGGCATACGCTTGGTCGTTATGGTCGCGCCCGCTTTCTTGGCTCAACGCGGTTTCGTCCTACGTCTGCAGAGTTTTCTGGTTCGCATCCCTACGAACGCAATAATCAGATCCTGGATGCAAACCACTCTGGTGTGGTATGCTAATTCGACCAACAAATACAGCACACTTCTCCTGTTACCGTTCTGCGCAAAAGACTTTAGTTAGCAACTCGAGCATCAACGATCACTTCCTGTTCCGCCAATTCTTACGTCCTACAACCGCACTTCTGCCGATCAGTCCCACGAATCAAAACGCTACTTGTCGAAAGTATAAACCCTTTCTAGCGGGACGCTCCTGTAGTATCCTACTTTTGTCAACAGAACGCGATTGGCTCGATGAAAACAATTATTATTATAACCTATTGTACCAGTGACTGTTTTACTGTGCTCGTTTGTTTAACTGTGCTAATGACAGCCACTATACTTACTCTCCCGTTGACTTTGAACTTGTACGAATCCGGTTACGCTCAGTAACCACACTTGTACTCCTTTGGCACGATCTCGGTATTCTTTCGATACCACAAGATCGCCAACAAATACATCTCGACTACAGCAAACATCTGCCTTCTGATTTTTGGCCTACCGGAATCTTATTGGTCTATTGGCACGTAGTCTTGTAGCGGTGTTCATAGTCAAGCTCAACTCGACACCACGCTACAGTCTTATGTGGAAGTCCTATCATCATCTACGTTGCCCCTTCCGTTAGTGACGATCAGCAATATTACATACAACACTTGTTTAACTCTTGAATGATCTTCACCCTGATCTCCACATTGGGAGGGTTAAAAATGAAGCCAAACATTTCGAAATTATAACATGTATTTCTCGACCAGTTGATGCCGCCTTTTTCTGATTTTTTTTTTCAGCTTATCAAGATTCCTATGGTTGGTTTGGTAACCTCCGGTGCCGAACAATCTCACTTTATTTAAGATCGAACATGTTATATCTTAGTGAAAATTGAATTATGAGGGACGTCTGAGACCTATTAACGGACTAATATGGCTGCTCAGAGGATGAAAATTAGTTCGTTCAAACGTCTAGTCCTTAACTCCAGCATGGATATTAAATGAGCATTGATAATATAAATATACTGACCACCCCTGATTAGGTTGTGACATGCTGTTTGTATGCCAGTCGCGCATCAGAATTTTCTGGCGGCCTGCTTGAACTTCATTATTATTATTCATAAAAATCTTATGGGTACATAAGTGTTGTGAAGAGGCCATTTCGGGTTTCGTCAAAAATGCAATAATACACAAGTTTTAATAATGTTAGCATTATATTTGGGCTGCCTGTTCCTGCCATCTAGATATTTCAACAAGTTATCAAAGTGTTTTTCTGTTAATATATCATTATGGTTATTGATAGCATAACTATTCAGTTGCATTTGTGAAAAGTGTACAACGTTTCTTTGTACAGGCTACAAAAGACTCAATTAAAGATAATGTGGTTGTTGGAGGCTAAGGGAATGTAAATTATTCAGGTGTCGACTGACTGTACTGCTAACTTCTAGCTCGCGATCACTCAATATTTGTTGTCAGTACTGACTAAGAAATAAGAAAAGGAAAATTGTTGAAATACTTTGAGCTGAAAATTCTATGTTGAACTAAAACTGTATACTGAATAAGGCTAACAATGATAATAATAATAACAATAATCAATTTTCGTCAACCGCTCAATATCCCTTTTTAGAGCTTCTGAGATTCATCATTAATCTGGGATTCAGTATTATTACACTGAAGACTCAATGTCTTTTTATGCAGATATTTATGCGTGAAATAGATGTCGAATAAAGCTATCGACTTGAGAGATAACCCGTACTCTTTAACTATCGATTGTGTGGAGTTTACAAATCGGGGTGTTTGTTTGCATAATTTTCAAGTATCTGTGGAAATCGTGTACTTCATACTTATTTTCATTTTTAAATAGTGCTGGTGTTATAAGTGAACTTATCTATTTTTGATTTATTTGCGATTTTTGGCGTGTGGCCAAATAAGTAGAGGACACACTTGTGACATCTCCTGGGATCCCAGCAGTTTTGGCTCTCACTGTTTATGAGGTCCATCCTAAAATCCCGTGGTTTGATTTTGTTTATGCTCACACAAGACGTCAGATACTCGTCCTATCCCACTGGTAAATTCAGAACACAGTAGTTGGGTTGGAAACGGTTGTAATAAAAAAAACCACCTAAGTTACTTGTACAGAATTATCATGGAGAATATCACGACTAGGCTATATAGTTCACATAGTTGTTTAACAAAATTAAACAATATGGCTTACAAAATTGTTGCCAATTAAAGGAAAATGGAGATTATCAACAACCTGCTGAAGACTATTCTATCTTATTGAATAGATCAAAACTATCAGTTTAGAGAGTATTAACCGAACCATAAATAGAGAGAACAATGACTGCCAAGGATAAAGATTGAATAAAATCATAGCATCATACCTTAAGGTTTTTCTCTGAGGTTGGATGTCTTCTCCCAGTAACTCAAATGGTTCAAATGATTGTGGACAGAATAGAAGATTTCGCTTAAGGGGATTCCGTGTCTCGTAGTAGTGGATCACCAATACCTCCAAGCAGGAATCCAGGTATATTAACGATAATAGGGGAAAGAAAAGAAATTGGTAAATCATAGTAAGATATTATCTTTAATCCTTAAGAATAGGTGAAGTTGATTCTTAAAGGACTCCTGGGAAGTCACTTGAACTGGCTCAGCCGGCAGCAAATTCCAGCATTTGACAACTCTTAAGGAGTAGACGTTGTGTCCACAATCAGTTCTGCTGTGTTGTGTCGCCAGTTTCTAGGTGTCACTCCTTAGGTTTGTATCAGAGCTAAATTTGAGTTGGCGTTTAAGAGGATGTCCAGAAGTGATGAGGATAATGTAAGTCACTGGAAGGTCACCTATAAGACACCTGTACTCCAATGTGTAAAGGTTTAGTGATTGTGGGTACTCTTCATAAGTCTTGAATTTGAGTCCCCGAACTGCTTTCGTGGCTCGACGTTGGGTACGCTCCAGAGCGTCCTTATTCTTTTGGAGTGTAGAAGGAAATACTGTGCTTCCGCACTCTAAGTGGGAACGAATGAAACTGTTGAGGATTATGTAGAAAGTTCTTCCATCAAAGTGGACAAAGGTGAGCTTCAATGTTACCAGTGCTAGGTTTGCTCGAAAGGCATTTTTATCACAGTTAGCGTAGGACTTTAAATCGTAGGTTACCAGCACTCCTAAATCTTTTTCAACTTGAGATAATTCTAGAGATTAGTTTCCAAATTTGTAAATGTAGTGTGCAACATCTCAGATGGACTGCTTTACGCTTTGAAGTGTTGAAGGTAAGTCCGTAGTTATCTGCCCAACTTTGAAGTCGAGTTAGATCCTCCTGAAGTGGTAGTATATACTCTTGCTTGTGCATCTCTCCAGAGTTTCACATCATCGTCAAAAAGTAATAATTCAGACAACGCCTTTTGTAGAAGATCGTTTATATAAATCAAGAAAAGAAAAGGTTCTAGTAATGAACACTGGGGGTCCTCACTAGGACATTCCATAGCCAGAAAGTGAAGTAAACCCCTACTTAAAATGTCGAATTTTTAGATATGAAGTGAGCCAACCAATTAGAGGTGATTTGATATCCAATCGTTTGAGCTTATTGATAAGATATATATGTCTGACCCTATCAAAAGCTTTTGAGATGTCAAGGTAAATAATGTCAACTTTCCCCTTCCGATCAAGGATGGTTGTCTATCAGTAAACCGTAGTCATGAAGATGCCACAGGTTGGTTATACAAGAATGACCCTTCCTGAAACCCTATTGCAGCAGTTCTTTGTCGTTCTAGATTTTCTCACTTATGCTGCCACATTCAGGATGAAGTGTACTTCGGAATGTGTGTAAACCTATCAAAAATTGACGTTACATTACTCGTGAACGTCCTTGAGAACACTTCAAGGGCATCTAGTGTCTCATGGTGTCCGATACTTCAGAAGGTAGAACGATATTTATCAGGTAATATTTATCTTGTTCTGTTGTTTAAAATATAGTGTAAACCACTAAGCTAAACGGAAATTATTTTCCATCTTCGTAGACGTTTTGGAAAATGAAGTCAATAATTGCTCATCACAACAGCATGATAATACGCTAAGGTACTTGTATAGGCAGATTTCATCTATAGGCACTGAACATCAATAGTTCGTCAAAGAGTAATTTCTTGATATACGAATATATTCGTACATATGTACATATTTGCTGCGTCAAAACTTTACTCTTTAAAGTAAACACGGGAGACCTGATACATTCCAGTCTTCAGTCATAAGGATAGTAGGTTGGTAAACTTGTCTTAATCCTTGTGTCCCAATCTCCCTATTTTGGGGAAAAATTTGTCCGTTTTAGGAGAACCGCTAATGAGGGTCTTGGATAAATGGCACAGAAACCCCAAAATTTCCCTAGGTCTGGGGAACTCCCCAAAAATTTGGGGAAACTTCCAATTGTTATTGGACTTCGGGGAAGATCCCAAAATGGGGAGATTGGGGTACGCTGATGAGACTGATACCACTTGTTCCAACAAGGTGTTTTAGTCACTGATCACTTGATGGAGATAAATGGAATCCCACTTTGAGGACATTCGATCGCGGTTTTTTAACATTTATGCTGTTGACTCAGACATAATCAGTGTTAGAGGGGCAAAAAATAAAACGCGTTAACACCCGAATCCTCATAAAACACACATGCCAATATAAGGTCCCTTTGCGTCCTGCGATAAGGTAAGGGGTAAGATCTAAATGTTTAAGTGCTCATTGTAGGAAAGTTCAGAAAGACTCATCACTAACTTCGTTTCCACATGCTGAACACTGGGGTATCAGCATTACTCATGTCGGTAACTATTGTAGTTAACATAGTGTATGCTACTGAACCGATTAGAAACGAGAAAAGTCATGGTGAAGATATCGAAGTAGGGTTTGTAATTGGTGTTGGGAGTTAGGACTATTTATTAGGGTTAGTTTCCACCACGAACTGATGAATGATGTAAGAATCCTAAAAACATCTTTTATGGTAACAGTTGTTGCCACAGTTCGTATCATGTTAAAAATTCTTCCTTTACATTAGACTAATTAACTAAAGGCCCCCAAATGGCCTGGTACGGCCGAGAGTGGGGAGAGTCCGCTCTCCCTCTCGAAATGCTCTCACATGGCCATGCGTATATAGCACCTGCCAGGGAAGTCCTACTCACTGCCTTCTCGTGGCGGGGGTGTTGTTTACGAAAATGAGATGACGAAAAGCGAATTTCCAGCGCTTTAACCGGATCCCAAACCAATGGTGCACATGGGCTCCAGTATCCTGCGGGAACAAATGGCGTATGAACCAATCGTTGGTCACCGGCCACCATGAGACTGCATCTCCTTAGGATACTCCACTGCCTTGTGGGTCAGACGTTCAGGTGGAAGGCTCGGGGTGTGGCCCCCTAAGGAAACCACCTGCTTCGGTTTTGGCACCCAGGCAGTATCACAGCCCTCACACAACTCAATTGAGATTCGTGTGGCGCATATGTATTTAGTGCCTCCTTGCACCAATACCTATGTGTTAAAATAGATAAATAATATGTAATTAATTAACTAAAGACCCTAACTTCACACGTATGTAGCCTGCAAAGTCAATACCGACATCGGAGTTCCTAGGACATCGTAAAATGCAGACTACAATAGTTCGGGAAAAACGGTTATATTTTAGATTATAAAAGTTTCATCTTCTAAAAATAGAAGTAGGTTAATGGCATCACATCATATATGTCCTTGAAGTACTGCTTGGGTTTGTTCCAACAATTGGACAAGAAGTGATAGTCACGGAGTACTACATAGAGGTTGTAGATAGGTTAATAAAATTTTGAATTTTTTTAAACTAAGGTGACGGCCTAACTGGACTTGCTATGCTTGGTAGTGTGAAAATTCGTTGTGAGAAAGCTAAGGAAGGGGGAGCTAGATCAAACATTTTATAAGTCCATGGACTCTGACTGTTGGACTGAGGCATGTTCGTAGGTGTAAGCTGTTTGATTGAGATTCGAGCAATTATCCTAACATAAAGTCAATTTCATAAAGCGAATTAACTTTCTTCAGTCATATTTCCTGTACCCAATCTTTTCCGATTCCGCTTATACTGTTACTTTTCTACCACACCGGCATGTCTTAATAATTGTTACAATGCTGATGTGTGGCAACACAAGTTGATAATGACTGACTTATTTTCATTTTCCCACACATGGTGTATACCTTCCACAGAACGATTTACTTTGTAGCGCTGTAGTAGCGATCCTTTCGAAAGACTGAGTTTATTTAGTCGGACACCTGGATGTAAAAATATAACTCAGTGCATTCGCTTTGTTCGGTCTTAGTCCTGGGTCACAGGTTTTCAAACTCGAGGTTTCATAGGAACATATTCGTCATATGTCATAAAAATGCTAGCTTTATAAAACTTAATAAAAGTCAGTCATTGGGCCAAAGATAGTAGAATTAGCATAGTGTGTGAAAGAACGTCATGTTATAGTATGTCATCAAGTAACTGTAGGTTAAAAGCAGTTTATTTATTATTTATTTATTTATTTGAACACATAAATATTGGTACAGGGGGGCACCAAATATATATGCGCCACACAAAACAATGATAATTTGAAGAGAAGGAGAAAAGAGAAAAAAAAGTAATGAACGTGGGGAATTATAAAAAAAAAGAGAGAGAGAACAATGGTGGGGGAAACGGAAAGGTACAATCAGAAGAGATCTTTCAGTTAAGGAAGATACAACCACTTTTTATGAAGAAAGTAAAAGAAGGTTACAGCAGGATTGCCACTGTCTTCTATTCTGAGCCATATCTGATAACGTCTCTAGCCACTGCGTTACACCGTCTCTCGGACCCCAACCAGGGAGTCGTGAAGGACCAACACAACCCAGCCCTTTGCAGCCTTGTTTCATACCACGACACCATGTCATATACTGACCACCTCTCCGCTTTTTCCAACCAGTCCCAGAGTCGGCAAATAATGCACGACGTGGAATTCTCTGGGACGACATTCGTAGAACATGTCCAAGCCACCGAAGTCGGTGTTTCAAGATGGTGACACCAATTTCATTATCGTCTCTGTGACCGAACACTCGATGCCGAACCTCTGCATTACTGACATGGTGTTGCCACTGGATGCCAGCAATCCTTCGGAGACAGCGATGATCGAACACAGAAAGTCGTCTAACATCCTCAGCTCGGAGAGGGCAGGTTTCACAAGCATAGAGCAAAACTGCTCTCACCGTCGCGTTGTAGATCCGACCTTTTACAGCCAGACTAACATCACGAAGGCGCCAAAGATGGCCCAGATTGGCATAAGCCGCTCTGGCTTTCACTATACGTGCATTGATCTCATCACTCACACCACCACCAGCATTTATGCAGCTACCTAGATACACGAACTTCTCGACTACTTCAATCTGCTCACCATCCAGAGTGAGTACAGGATTAGAATCGGGGTGTGGCCCCCTAAGAAAACCACCTGCTTCGGTTTGGGCACCCGGGCAGTATGACAGCCCTCACACAAATCAATTGCGATTCTTGTGGCGCATATGTATTTGGTGCGTCCTTGTACCAATACCTATGTGTTAAAATAAATAAATAATAAACAGGATTAGAATCCTGCCAGTCTTGTAGAAGTACTTTGCACTTCGAAGGTGCAAACCACATACCATACCTACGGACACTGATTGCCAACTGATTAAGTGCGGATTGCATAGCTTGGGCATTCTCGCACAGTAGGACAATATCATCCGCATACTCAAGGTCGAGAAGTCTTTCTCCAGGCAACAGATCCACACCACCGTTACTTACATCCATCAGAGCTGTTTCCAGAATGTCATCGATGGCAAAGTTGAAGAGGAATGGTGAGATTGGGCAACCCTGCCTAACCCCACTGCTCGAATGGAATAGTGGAGATAGGTGGTTGTATGCTCTCACTCTGCCTGAGGTGTTTGTGTATAGGGCTTTTAGGATGTTAATAAACTTCTCAGGCACACCCTTCTTCAATAGACAATCCCAGAGAACAGTTCTGTCCAACGAATCGAAGGCAGCCCTGATATCAAGAAACACTACGATTGTTGGCCATTGATAAGTATGGCGGTGTTCTAACACTTGGCGGAGGGTGAAGATATGATCAATACTTCCTCGACCAGAACGAAACCCAGCCTGCTCCTCGCGAGTCAATCCTTCTCGGGTTCTGAACAACCTACGAAGTATGACGGGAGCCAATAGCTTGGACGCAAACGGAAGTAGACTTATCCCCCGATAGTTGTTACAGGAACAACGTGAACCCTTTTTAAAGATAGGGACAACTATCGACTCATTCCATGATGTTGGTACACTCTCTAGTTCCCAGATCTTTGTAAACAACGTCGTCAGTCCCTTAGTCAAAAAGTCACCACCATCTTTAAAAAGAGCCGGAGGTAAGTCGTCTGGGCCGGGTGATTTGTAACATTTCAAGAGTTGGAGTTCCTTGCGGACTTCCGCCTCATTTGGTGGATCAGTCGTCACCGGCCATGGAGGGCAGGACAGTCTGACCGATGTTGCCGGAGCAGCAGGCCAGTTGAACTGCCCTTCAAAGAATTCTGTTCATCGTCCAAGACGTCGATGGATGTTAGTGATTGGCGTTCCGTCATCCTCGCAGATTGTTTCGCTCACACCAGACTTCTTGCTGCCAGTGGCTCGGATGAGTTGGAAGAGTTTCCGGTAACTACCAGATGCAGCTGCTGCTTCCAACTCACTGGCACGATCCGACCACCAGGCTTCTCGGTCCTTACGCAAGCTTTGCCCGATTTCATTACGTAACGTCCTTCGTCTGTGGTCAAACTCACGGTCACCCGGAGTAGACCGACGGGCTTCAATCAGTTGTAAGGAACCAGAAGAAACCCAGTGCTTGTAAGCGGGACGTTTCGCAAACCCACAACTGACTTGATCCGCCATTTTCATGGCGTCATGCAATTGCAACCAATGCTCATCTATACTTTTCGGTGGAATGGTAGCTAGCCTAGAAGCTAGCTCGGTTCGGTACATACTAGCAACAGAAGTTGCAGCCAGCTTGCTAACATCAAGCCTGTGGTGGCGGTCACTTCGTTGTCCACTGAAAAGTAAGGTAAGATTGGCGCAGACCAGAGCATGATCAGATTCCAGATAGGTACTCCAAAAGGAGCGGCAGTCTTGTACACAACCACGCCAGCGGTAGCTGATCGCGATGTGATCAATCTGAGTCCAGGCTTGAAATGCAGAAGGGGGACGCCAGGTGGCACATCGGCGATGACTGTGCCGAAAGTTAGTGCTAGCCAGAAACAGGTTGTGGTCTGTGCATAGTTGCAGTAGACGTTCCCCGTTATCTGTCCTGCGACCAACGAGTCCCCATCGGCCACCTAAACGACTCTCTTCTGTGCCTAGACGCCCGACCTGAGCATTCAAGTCTCCAGCTAGTACCACAATATCTGTCGAACGCACTTTCTGGAGAAGAACAGTTAGCTGGTGGTAGAACTCGTCCTTGATTGCATCCGGGCTGCAATCTGTCAGGGCATAGGCGTAGATGACGAAAAGACATCGTTTCTCACGCCGATTTCTTCTCACTTTGATGGAACTTTCTAATCTAACAGCACATAACCGACTGTTAATGGGTATCCAGTCGACTAGTGCTGCCTCAGCTCTAGCGCTTAGTGCGACACCAACGCCAGCAAGACCAGACGAAGATGCCACAGGGTCCCCGGATAAACGCACGTAAAACAAGCTTTTTGAAGCGACAGATGGAGAGCGATCTTGTAGTACTTCACCAGGGTCTTGAATACGGGTCTCGGATAGACAACACACATTAATATTAAGACTTTCCAAAGACATAGCCAGCCCTATCTGTTGTCCGACCTGCATAAGTGTGCGAACGTTGAAGGCAGCCAGTTTGAATGTTGCACGTGGTTTCAGAAAAACTGCTTCAGTACTCATATTCGGTAGTAACATGCAATTTTCAACCAGGCAGTGACTCGAGAACGTTTAGATAAAGCTGAATTTTCACCATAGGCGAGGTGCTGTCTGAGTCGAAACGGATACAAAAAGTAGAAATAGGAGATAGTGAATAAATGACGTAGTAAATAATAATAATAATAATAATACCAGTCATTTCAATGTTAATCGGAGAGAAACGAATATTTTCTATAAGCAGATAGTTCGTCATGGTTTTAGTGTGTGGGCTGAGATACTGCCCGGGTGCCCAAACTGAAGCAGGTGGTTTTCTTAGGGGGCCACACCCCGAGCCTTTGACCTAAAGGTCTAGTCCACAAGGCAGTGGAGCATCGTGAGGAGATGCAGTCCCATGGAAGCCGGTGACCAACGATTGGTTCATACGCCATTTGTTCCTTCAGGATACTGGAGCCCAAGTGCACCATAGAATTGGGATCCGGTTATAGCGCCGGACGTTCGCTTTTCGTCCTCTCATTTTCGTAAACAACACCCGTGGTGCGAGAAGGCAGTGAGTAAGACTTCCCTGGCAGAGGCTGTATACGCGTGGCCGTGTGAGAGTATTTCGAGAGGGAGGGCGAACCCTCCCCACTCTCGGCCATACCAGGGCATTTGGGGGCAGTGCTTTTACTATACATATGAAAATATTATAACCATCGTTAGCACTAGTAAAGCGATTGGAGCCTTTCAAGACTTATTTTTCTTATTCATTTTGATAGTTTTTCAGTTTCTTCTAAAAATTATTTCTGAAATTCCCTGCTTCAACAAATATACCTCACTCGGTTTGCAGCTAAATGTTGAGCATGTAAAAAGTTTTAATATGATTGGTAGAACAATTCTGTTAGTTGGGACATTTCACATACATAATCTTACTTTTAGCTTAGTCGACTACATTTCGAAGTGCTATTTCATTTTGGAAATTATTATTATTACGGGCAATACTGATCATTGCACACTAAAGTAGTACAAGCCCCCGAATGCCCTGGTACGGCCGAGAGTGGGGAGAGACCGCTCTCCCTCTCGAAATGCTCTCATATGGCCACGCGTACATAGCCCCTGCCAGGGAAGTCCTACTCACTGCCTTCTCGCACCACCGGTGTTGTTTACGAAAATAAGAGGACGAAAAGCGAATGTCCGGCGCTTTAACCGGATCCCAAACCAATGGTGCACATGGGCTCCAGTATCCTGCGGGAACAAATGGCGTATGAACCAATCGTTGATCACCGGCCACCATGAGACTGCATCTCCTTACGATACTCCACTGCCTTGTGGGTCAGACGTTCAGGTGGAAGGCTCGGGGTGTGGCCCCCTAAGGAAACCACCTGCTTCGGTTTTGGCACCCGAGCAGTATCACAGCCCTCACACAACTCAATTGAGATTCGTGTGGCGCATATGTACTTGGTGCCTCCCTGTACCTATACTTATGTGTTAAAATAAAATAAATAAAGTAGTACAAATGCATTTACATTTTTCATGTTTATTTGGGCTTTTAATGTTTATTATCCACTTTTCATTCTCGATTTATGAACTTCATTATTTTAATGTGTATCATTTTGCCCAGTATTTTATTTGTGTACTGTAAAATCTTCAACAGTCAACGCACTTCAGTGAAACTATACGTTTAGTATGTTTGTTACAGTTTATATTATGCTCCATCCACACTAGAGATTTGACCGGTTGAACAAGTATATCTTGTTATGTCCATTCTATAAATGAGTAAGATGTATGTGCGGTGACCTAGTCAGTTTTTACATTAAGTAAGACATACTACCAATTAACGTTATACTTGAGTTCATTAAAATAATTGATCGATATTTTGTAACACAAGGTTATAAACAGGATATGATAAAAACTTAGTGACTAGTTTTGACTTTCTGTTATAAAGAATCTCGAAAGAATTACTCTGTTTTGGGTTTCTTTTCATTGTTATTACCTATTCTGCAGCGATCTTCACGTTTTATAGTTCTATCAACTAGAGTCACTTAGAATGCATTATTTGTATATTACTATTTTATTTAAAATAAATGCACTAAATATTTTATTCTTTTTAAATGAAGATCTGGTTAGGCAGTCTAACTCTTCATATATATTGTTTCTTAAGAATCTATCTTAATGTGCTCCATTTTCGTTTGATATGATCCTATCAAAACCCACTTATTCGACACTTTAAACTTCACAAGCGTTTGAAAGACTATGCTCCATAAGTGAATGAAATGTGTATGAAGTAGTACTTTTGTAGTTCTGCATCACGAACTAGCTTCAATAATCTTCATACCCCCTTGTACTTAAGGAAAAGTCATGATTACTTCGGTTGATATTTCGCTCTTTCTGAACTAACTTCTTTTACTTCAGTTATTGTTTCGTTAACTTGCATTTTCTTCCAAGTATGACGTAGAAAACAAATGTCATTAATACGAGTTATATCGCTCTTTACATGCATTATTTCAGAAACCTATCCTTTGATGTGGAAGAAGATGCGTTGTACAAATTTTTTTCACAATTCGGACCGCTAGAATTTGCGAAAGTAGTTAAAGATCCAGCAACACAACATTCCCGTGGTACAGCCTTTGTAAAGTTTGTAAATGCTGAGGATGCATCAAATGTCTTACAACAATCTGATAAACCTGAGGTTAGTTGAAAAAGATTATGTTTTATTGATAAGTTTCTGTGTACTATATTACACTTAATAAGAAATATACTCAATTCCATTATACAACGGACCTATTTTTATTTAGAATGCTCGTCAATTTTCTTTGGAAAACCGAACTTTAAACATAACGATTGCTGTTTCTAGAACAGAGGCACAAAATCTACGAAAAAGGAAACATGAAGATGATGCTTCAGAGGGTTTTGCAGGCCCTGCAGATGCTGTAAAGCAAAAGGGACGCAATTTGCATTTAGCATCTATTGGAAGTAAGTTGATAATATTCCTGTGTATACATATTTTAAATCATCTAGCTTGGTTTCATATAATGATGATCGCTTTAATAATACAACTTTTACAAGTCGATTATTTCCGCTATCATATCTTTCCAATTATTTGTTTATTAGCAGGATTCTGCTATGCTTTCAGGTTAATGAAATGTGGTTTGTAAACTTACGTCATCAGAATTTTATACACTATAGTCGGTTCATACTCCGTCCCGACCGTTGTTGCTACCTTGACGTGGTGGTCGGGCTTGCCTACCATGATGAAGTAATCGAGCTATACTGGCTGGAACAATCCTTCCTCAAGGTCCTACTATGCCAGACAGATCGGCTGAAGAACGGTAAAACTAAAAGCAGCAAACCCAAGGTCCGAAAGCGAAGTCGTACTGCTGACTGTACAGAGGTTGACGGCAGTACAACAGCGATGCTGCCTTGCCATAAGGAGGGGTGGGGTTAGAAAAGGTAGACCCTAAAAATGCACACCTCGCCTTATCCCACGGATATCCGTCTCCGGCGGTAAGGTCTCAACAAGTACGGAGCTAACACGAAAACCACTCACATAAGGGTCGTGTGTGACCGAACTCAAACAGTTGTCCCTTAGACACTGCGGTCACGCTCTCAGGTCACTAAGACCACCTCTAATCCAAATTCCTTCTCAGGTACCTCCAGAAGAACCGTTCCACAGTGTGGGCAACCGGTAAGTGATAACCGCTCTCATACCTCTAACAGCACTCAAGACCACTGTATTCATAATCAACCTCCCTCTTCAATTCCTATTATTCTTCCTACATCGAATTTTAACACTGAACTTCCTCTTGTGGCTCTTTTAACTGACTCATACTTGGTGATTAGGTTTACAAAATCATTGTTGGTATCTTTTAAATTGAGGAAGTTACATGAATATTATGATATAAATAAAAATCACTATCAAATATGATGAGATTTTATGACATCACAGTCAAGTTTCAAATAAGAAAGGGAAATTCATCGCAAAAGTTTGGAATAAAAATGTACTTATTTCGGTTAAAATTGGGAAACTTTCACTTTTTTTGTTCGACTTGTTTTTCGTATAAAGTTGAGATATTGAATCATTGATTTGCTTGTTTGTTCACAGGTAAATTTACTTACGGTGTAGAATCTAAACTTCAGTAGGAATATCTTAGCCTTCAGTGTTTGAACTGAAAGCAAAGAATTCCATGTCATGAACATGTTCTTTATTTTTGAAATCTATTTACAAGATCAATGTTAGCCATTCGCAGGTAACATGAAGGTAAAGTTTCTGCACCTCGTATCAGTACAATCGTAGTTTAAGCCTGCCGCGCACACCCTAACCAGAAAGTCTTCATTTCCTTACTTAAATCACAAGTTAGTAACTTTCTAAACTGGTTCTATATTTTAGCTTGACCCTATCCATTCAACATGGGACTTTGAGATAGAAATTGGCGGCCGACATTATAACGATTGTGGTTTTTCCCCACCCCTAATGATAATTTTGAGGTTATAACCATAAACATTAAAAAAGCTACCGGTTCGAGCGATGCCGAACTATATACTCAATATGTTCAGGTGCACAATTTTTATCCGTCTACCAACCAAAGGACGAGTTTACGTTCGGTCCTACTTTAATGGAAGTGAAACATGGCCGGCAGGAGTAGAGGATATTCATAGGTTATTAGTATTTGATCATAGGTGTCTTCGAAACATTGCTCGTATATCCTAGGACCATCGAGTAAGTAACTCAGTTGTTAGGAAACGGGTACTAGGTAAGGATGCAAATCAATTGATGAAGTAGTGAAACCTAATCAGTTGAGATGGCTGGGACATGTGTTACGTATGCCTAACCACCGAGTGCCCCGACGTGCGATGTTTTATAATGTAGAAGTAGGTTGGAAGAAAGCTAGGGGTGGTCAGACCAAAACTTGGCACAAATCCATGAAGTCACTGACAAGTGAACTGAGCCATGTTGGTAGATGTAGACTACTTGGTTGATGACCGCGAGATGATAGCAATCGATGACTAGAGAGTTTGAATGACATGGCTCAAAATCGTTTCCAATGGCGCAGGTGCATCCACTCTTTGTGTTCTCCCAAATTCTAATCTTCTGAATTCTTCATGTCCCTTTTTTTTCCCTTTTTCCAAATTTATTTCACTGGATTATACTGATTGAATAACATATTCATACCCTAATGTTTCTGATTACTGCTTATACTCTTACTACCTCTACCACTACGGGATTTGAATCGACAACTGCATCTCTGTGCTAATGTGGTATGGCAACTTGAACTAATGTACGTACGTACGAAGTTCTACGTTGTTACTGACTGACAATTTTTGTCGCTTGAATATTTAAAGATGTAACTTGCTGAACAAATCCTAACTAGTGATAAAGTGATTACTAGAGCTCACTGATCTTAAAAAGATAGTGACTGCACAAATTGCTGGCTTTCATTTTCACCCTAAAACAATGATAACTGATCATACCATTTTTGAAATTACTAATGTTATTGGGCAAAAGTTTTGAGAAGTTCAACGGAGAGGAAAGGGTGAGAAACTGTCCATTAATGCAGGGGAGGGTTTGGATTATAAATTTATACTATAGTTGTCGAATGGTGCTCCACTAAAGAGAACTTCATCTGATACGTCCGAGTTTCAGCCGCCGAGTTGCATATTCATACTCCGATTCACCTATTCCGGTTTAAGCAACCAGTTAGTGTCACTGGCCTCTACACTTATGTGGCTAAAAGTTAACCACTTAACGCGAGACTCGAAGATCCTGGAATCAATCTCCGGTGCTTCCGTGGATGTGTACCGCTGAGTTGTTCCACTTTCAGGACAAAGCAATTGTTGGTTTTCAAAGCTTGTCCAAGATCAGTCCGTAATATGAACTATGGATGAGAGGGGTGTTCCTTCAAACTTTATTCACAACAGCGAGTAGTAGGAAGAATTTAAAGACTGACATACATTGTTTCTGCACGATTTCTGCCCTCTCTATCATTGGTTGAATCAAAATATTTATTTTACTTTTTATCATTTTCCTCTTGTTTCATATAGTTATTCGTCCTGGATCATCTGAAGCTGAAGGTTTAAGCAAAGAAGATTTAGCTAGAAGGGATGCATTATTGCGAGAGAAAAAGAAAAAACTAACTGATCCAAATTATTTTATTAGTGATGTTCGATTATGTTTACGTAATCTACCCTTACATGTATCTGATGATGACTTAAAGTCTGCTTGCATGAAATTTCTAAAGAAAAGTACGGACCACCGGATTGTAGAAGTGAGCACGCTTAGAATGTATGACTGATATGTTTTTATTTAAATATTGTTATGGTCAACTTTTAAGGTTTGATTTTCTCATATGTTTGGCGTTTTTTTATATATTCACTGGTAGTTATTGGACGATAACTAAGTACAATGTTACGTATTAAACTTAGATACATACATGTTGCGTCAGTAAAGGAGATTATAAACGGCGGTAAGAATGAGATCTGAACCCATGATCCAGTAATTAAATATGTATGTATTCAGTGCCTTAGTTGTTAGGATTCTCGGTTACCAATCACTATATTGCAGGTTCGAACCACACTCCATTGAATTCGATGTCGGCAGTTGGTCTGTGTCTTTACCCTTTATACAGAACTGTCATTCACTCATGATCAACATACAATCTGGCATAAATTTACGTTAGCTTACTTTCCCATACTATATTAGCATCATGGGATAAAATTAACGAGATGAATAATATAGTATTTGAAGTAATTATAATAACAATGCTACCAAGATAAATTAAACACTGAGAATTTGGTTCAAAAAGATGGAATGAAAAGGATTGTTTAGTGAAATACTTTGATTCTTGATAAAATGAGTTACACTGTATTTTGTCAATTTTTTCGAACATGTCGTATGATTGAAGTGTGTGTGGTCTTGTTTTTGGTTTCTTGAATTTGCAGGAGATAGTAAAGAAAAATACAGTTGCTTATGTAAGAAGTGGATTTTCTAGGATTCTTCTTTGAAATTTTGAAACCACCTTCAAAGAAACCTAAAATGAATACCACTCAACCTGAATGTCATTACTCATGTAGTTGATCATATGCGATTTATGAGCCGTTTTTAATCAACATCTTATTTTACTCAAGATATACCAATCTGTTGTTTTAAAGCTTTCGATACTTTTAATGTTATAATAGATAATTAGTAGTCGAAAATCTAAGCGTATTGATCTGTATTGAACTTTTCGTGTCAAAACCATATAGATCTAGCTGATATATTCCTTTTGATCTGTCGGTTGGAATCCACTCTGTGTTCATAATCCAATTGAATATATAAAATTATTTACTGTTATTTTTATGCTGTACATTTCCAAAATTGTTTTTACAGTTTATTTTTTTCTCTTTTGTTTGGTTTGTAATCCTATCATCAGTGTCGTATTATGCGTAATCTCCAACCAGGCAGACAACAATATCGTTCACTTGGCTATGGATTTGTTGCATTTACCAATCATGAAAATGCATTAAATGTATTGCATGGCTTAAATAATAATCCGAATGCATTCCCACCTAGTAATCGAGTAAGTTAATCATCCTATACTGTACAGTATGCTATTTAACTTAATTGATCTATGATACCACTTACTGACATCTCCCTTCTGTCTTTTAATAAAGGCTTGTTCTGGTTTAACTGTAGTTCTCTGTTGAATAGTCAAATGATTAAAGGAATTGTGTATCGTGTAATCTCTGATGTTTTGATAAAAACCTATAAACCACTGTTATTCTATTATAATAATTTGTCGTAAATTTGATAGTTGTTTGGTTGATTTATGCACTGAAGTATCCTATTTTCATCCAATTATGTCTTGGTATCGAATCCTACCTTATTTACTTCATCCCAAAGTTGAGTACATAAGCCTGTTGGTGTTGTTGATCTGTCTAAATTGCTACATGATTTAATTGTCTTTCTGGGCAACATAATCAGTGCTTGATTCATGTAGAAGTGAGCTTCGTACTTATTCTACGATTCATTAGACAGTTTGTTCTGAAAGCCTTGTTTGTGATTGGTTGTATTCGTAGGTTTTTTACCAGTTCTTTTATATAAGTTGACTATTTTGTCCAGTTAACTTCTAATTATATGGTTTATTGACCTTTTTTGTATGAGTCGATAGATCGGGTATCTTCATCTGAACTTTCGATGTCTTCCCAAACGAATTCATGTCGGTGGTTTCCTACATGCATTTAAATAAGTCATAACATATCTTTTAATAGTTTACATTCATGTTTGCAAAAATGAACGAAGCATTCACTTTGTCGAATATACTGTGTATCGTAAACATAAACTTGTTCTAAGTAAATTTACATTAATCATGACACTATACTATACAGATAACCTTTAGCGAATTTAAGGATGGCTTTGTAATTAACCAATCAAAAATAACCAGTTAGAATGCAGTTGTTGTGTGAGAGCTCTAAAATGTAGAAAAATAATCAAATCACAAAGGATTAGTAGTTTTGAAATAATTAACGAACTTATTAGTGCTAAATATCGATAATTTAGACTGGATATCATTGTTCTGTAATCAGGATAGACCCCAATTCTCAATCTTATATTTTTTAAAACTTAATTCCTAACCGTAAGATTTCTCTACCCGAGTTTCTAATCCTAAAACTCTTAGACCCTAATTCTGAAATGTAGTACTTATAAATGTTGGCTTCTAACCTTAACACACTTTAGTCTTAGCCTATAACATTAAAACCGCTCAATCCTAAATTCTAATCCTAAAACTTTTTTTAACTAGAATACTTCTGACTTTAACCTTTCTAACCTTAACATACTGACTTTAACACTTCATTCCATAAGAGGATCACTATGCCATTCTTTTAAAATACGAATTATCATGAGTTTAAACAATAAACTATCCAAAATAGCGTTTTTAAGTCACGCATCAGCTAGTTTAATTTTGACTGATCGTTCAACAGCATCGGTTTTACCTTATTAATATTTCAATTAATTCTGATTACATTCTACTTTAGTTGGTACACTATTTTTTATAAACTTTGGTGGTGAAACTATAATTTATAGATGAACCTATTAGGTTTGAGATCACAGGTCTTGGATTTTGGCACGGAATTCATTCATCCATTTGGCTATATGACGTTTTGACATTTTAGCTGATGTCAGTTCGTGATGAAATCCTAAATGTAGTTCCTAACCCAAACCATCAACTTTAAGTCATATTCCTAATTCCCCACTCTGCTTAATAACATTCATTTGGTTCTAGTTAGTAGGTGAAAATTCTCAAGATCTCTTTTACGTCACTCAAAGGACGTCCAGTTTGGTAAAAGACTGTAATCGTTTCACAAAACACTCACTATCAGTCAGTCAGCTACAACATAGGACCAGGCACATATATGCATCGGTCCACACACTCACGGAGATTGAACTGTTGTTTATTGTGTATTCATATAGACACTGTTCTAGATATAATTCAAGTAATTAAGAAAAAAAGAATTATTGATGGATAGTGAATTTATTAGTCCTAAACATAAGAAATGAATGTACAGTTCTTGTATGTAAACCTATTTTATTTATTTTATTTTAACACATAAGTATAGGTACAGGGAGGCACCAAGTACATATGCGCCATACAGATCTCATTTGACATGTGTGAGGGCTGTGATACTGCTCGGGTGCCCAAACCGAAGCAGGTGGTTTTCTTAGGGGGCCACACCCCGAGCCTTCGACCTGAAGATCTGGTCCACAAGGCAGTGGAGTATCGTAAGGAGATGCAGTCCCATGGTAGCCGGTGACCAACGATTGGTTCATACGCCATTTGTTCCTTCAGGATACTGGAGCCCATGTGCACCATTGGTTTGGGATCCGGTTATAACGCCGGACATTCGCTTTTCATCCTCTTATTTTCGTAAACAACACCCGTGGTGCGAAAAGGCAGTGAGTAGGACTTCCCTGGCAGAGGCTATATACGCATGGCCATGTGAGAGCGTTTGGAGAGGGAGAGCGGACTCTCCCCACTCTCGGCCATACCAGGGCATTTACGATGAATGTTATTAAGATTACGGCAATTAAATGATTTTAAAAGTAGTCAGAGTGAAAAGTTGACAATTTTGATAATGATTGAGATCATGAACCGATTGATGTTAGACCTCCATTAAAAACCTGGATGCACTGGACGGCCGTTTCGTCCTATTTTGGGACTCCTCAGCAGTGTGCATCCACGATCCCGCTCATGGGATTTGAACCAAGGGCCTTCAATCTCGCGCGCGACTGCTTAATCTCTAGACTACTGAGTCGGCATCCAACGGTTTTAATGTCTAACCTCAACCAATTCACGAAATCGCGCAACCATCTTCCATTGTACTGAGGTAGATACATATCTCTACCCGACACGGATTACCTCCACTGGTCACCATGTGATCATCAGTGACTAGCTTCGCGAGGGAATTCTCAGAGTTCAAGTGAGTAGCTGTGACCAGATTTGTCCACCTACTGGTTATACTGTACAAACTTATTAAATATTTTCATTAATTTATCATCAGCATCTATAGTTGATATTTGAAATTCGATCAGTTTTATGCAAACACTTAATACTTTAATGATGTGAACGATATTGCTTGTAAAGAGTTCTGATTTATAATAAACAAAAAAATGTTTATAACTATAATGAGCTTACTTATTTACTTATGCCTGTTACCCCTCGTGGTGCAGCATAGGCCACCCACTAGCGTTTTCTATCGAATTCTGACCTGGGCAATCCGTTCCACTTGTTTCCAGTTGCTATTCATCCTTTTGATGTCTGCTTCCAATTCCCATCAGGATCACAAGTTAGCATTTGCTTCGCGATGCAGTTTGATGATTTTTGAAACGTGTGTCATCAGTCAGTCAGTCAGCTGCAACGTAGGACCAGGCACATATATGCATCGGTCCAAGTTGCCATAGCGCATTAGCACAATAAGATGAACACCGGAATCATAGAAACAGTTAATTCAGTGGTGGTAATATGTAAAAGAAAATTGCATATAAGGAGATAAGTACAGGAAGAAAGAATTATTTCGTAGATAGAAATATATGAAGTGATTTTAATCTCCTAGTTTAAGGGCAAACAAAGAGTGTATACACCGACGCTATTGTGATCTATTCCGAGCCATGTGACCCTGAGTCTCCAACCATTGGTTACGATAGTCACACTGACCCCAACCAAATAGTCTGCATCTACCAACATGGCTCAGATCAGATGTTAGTGACTTCAAGCACTGATGCCACGTTTTGGTTTGGCCACACCTAACTTTCATCCAATTATCCCTAACACCGGTTAGCATTGCGCGTCGTGGTAATCGGTGTTCAGGCATACGTAACACGTGGCCCAGCCATCTCAGTCGATGAAGATCCATAACCTCATCAACTGACTTACCATCATTCCCTAATACCCTGCGTCTAACTTTACTATTGCTTACCCGGTGTTCCAAGCAAATGCGAGCAATATTTCTAAGGCGTATGTGGTCAGATACTAGTAGCTCACGAGTATCTTCTACTCTTATTTGTCACGTTTCGCAGCCGTAAAGCAGAACAGAAGTAACTGCCGCGCAGTATACTCGTCCTTTTATTGATACTCGGATATCTCGCCTTCTCCATAGGTGACGTAAGTTGGCGAAAGCCAAACGAGCTTTCCGAATCCGTGCAGAGATTTCGTCAGACAACAACCCATTAGGGCTGATCAGACTTCCAAGATAAGTGAAGTTGTCAACGCGTTCAACTACTTCACTCGCTATCCTTAGTTCAGGTGTTGACGCAGACCGGTGCTGAAGCAACAACTTGCATTTAGAGGGAGAGAAGCGCATTTCAAACATTCTGGCATTGTTGCTCAGTGCTACCAAAAGACTCTGTATTTCATCAGCGTCTTCACTAAACAGGACTATGTCATCTGCGTATTCTAAGTCGATAAGTGGACCTCCTGGTAGGAGATCAACACCCGAGAATTCAGTCGATGAGAGCGTTATTTCCATCAGGAGGTCTATGATAAAGTTAAACGAAAAAGGAGAAAGTGGACAGCCTTAATGGATACCACTTGAGGTTGCAAAAGCAGATGACAGTTCGCCATAAGCTCTGACTCGACTAGTAGTGTTCGAGCAAAGAGCCTTAACAAGGTTTATGTACTTCTGAGGTACGCCTTTCAATGACAGACACTACCACAGAACCTCTCGGTCTACCGAATGAAATGCTGCTTTTAAGTCAAGGAAGACCACTATTGTCGGACGCCGATAAGCATGCCTGTGTTCTAGAACCTAACGAATGGTGAATATGTGGTTGATGCAGCCACGACCAGGTCTGAAGCCAGCTTGATTCTCTCGTGTTTGCAGTTCACGAGGTTTTGTTAGGCGTCTGATAAGTATCGAGGCTAGTATTTTAGATACTATATTAGTCAAACTAATCCCTCTATGGTTGTTCTATAAACTTCCATCTTCTTTTCTTAATTACCTCTTCAAATGAAAGTTCGTCTGTTCTCTCCCACAGTAGGCTATTGCTAATGGCATCCAATCAACGGATCTAAAGATTCTCGGATAGACAATTGTTTACAGATACTTGTACTATTTTGATGACGGTTATGATAGTTCTCGAAATTTCAGCTCCGTACAATGAAACTGTCTTGACGTATTGTAATGAGTACTGATATCTAATATGAAAAGTTTGTCCTATTAGAAGAATAATTATTTACATTCGTTCTCTGTTTTTCGTTGTTTGTTCTTCTTTCTTCTGTCTCATAGCGACCAATTGTTGAATTTTCATTGGAAAATATGAGAGCATTACAATTAAAACAGAAAAGAGCAGAAAAATGTTTGGTAAGTTGCAAAAGTTTATATGAATCCCCATACTATTACGTAATGTTATGTGATATTTCATTTATACTCTTATGTTTTGAGTCGATTGTATCATCCATTCATCTTAGCAGTCCCTATATCGTCCGTTATGATACTAACCATGACTCATCTGTTGGTTTCCTAAAGAGATGGTGAAATCATTGGTTTAAGTTGTTTTTAGATGTAGCTTTGAATAGAAAGTAGTAACCATCCATCTATAGTGTTATATTATAATCTTCGTATAAATGAAACAAACTTTCTTCTTTGAAAGAAGTCTTTCTTGATTATATTCTTAATTGAACTGTATCTCGGAGTATATACGTTTTTTATTAACTCATTTGTATTCACTTGTTTATTTTTAATTTCACTCGCATTCCTTCCTGTAACCCTCTCACAATTTCAACATACTTGCGTGGTACATCCTTATTTTGGTCCCAGTTTGGGTCAGAATGTATGTACATTAAGTAAAATGATCACTAATATATGTATATATATCCCTCAATCAATTGTTAGTTCTGAAATTACTGTTATCACACAACAGTAATTTTTAATTCAAATTAACTCATTCATCAGGTATCTGATTATGAGCCACGTCATAATTTTGGAATTTCACGCCTGTTATCCTTTGTGTAACATAGGCCCCCTGATCAGGTTTCTCCAACCAAATCTTTCCTGAGCAATCCTTTCTAGTTATTTCCAATCGCTGTTCATTCTTTTGATGTTTGCTTCTAATTCTCTATGCAATGTGTACTTTGGTGTTCCCCTTTTCCCTTCAGTTTATTGATTTCCTCAGTGTATGTCCTATTCACCTCGACTGTCCCTTCCTAATTTTATTTTCAACTAGAAGTTGGTTTGTTCCGTCCCAGAGTAAGCCGTTGCTGATAGTACCCAATCGATGGACATTCAGTATCTTGCATAGACAATTGTTTAAAAATACCTATACCTTTTTGATGATCGTTGTGATAGTTCTCCAAGTTTCACCCTCATACATTAGAACTGTCTTGATGTTCGTATTGGGGATTCTGACTGTGATATTGGTTGAAAGTTGTGTTGAGTTCCATACGTTCTTCAATTGTGGGAATGTGGACCTTGCTTTGCTAATCCTGGTATTTACGTCTGCGTCTAATCCTCATTGTTCATCGATGGTGCTGACCAGGTACGTGAAGGATTCTATATCTTTCAGAGTTTCGCCATCAGATGTGATTGGATTGGTGTTCTCCGTGTTGTATTTGAGAACCTTGCTTTTTCTTTTATGTTCGTTGAGGGCCTACTGATGCAGAATCTGCTGCTGCTACACTGATTGTCTTGACCTGCATTTGTTGATGTGTATGGGATAAAAGAGTTAGGTCATCTGCAAAGTCCAAATTGTCCAGCTGTATCCAAGCTATTTATTGTATTTCGTGCTTCCCCTCATATGTGGAGTTGTTCATAATTCAGTCAGCCATCAGAAGATAAACAGAGAGAGAGAGCAAGCAACGTTCCCTGACTGCCGTCTTCACTTCGAATACATCCATCAGTTGTCCTCCATGCATGACTTTGTTGTTTAGTGCGTTGTATGAATTGCGTATGACATTGACGATCTTCTCAGGTAAACCATAGTGTCGAAGAATTTTCCATAATGTTCTCCCATCCACATGTTAACCACTTTTTCAAAGTCAAGAAAGTTTATGCATAGTGTCAAGTTCTATTCAATTGATTGTTCAACGATTATACATAGTGTCGTGATTTGTTCTGTGCACGATGTATCTTTACAGATTCCAGCCTGTTGATTTCGAATTTGAGCGTCTACTGAATTTTTCATCCGATTCACCAACACTCTGTTGAAAAGCCTTCTTGATACCGGTAGTAGTATAATTGTTATGACCTTGATTTGTCTACCCACTTTTTGGTGCCGAGGATACTTGTCTAATCTAGATTTCGACCTTGATGCAATAGGCTGATCGGCTTAACCTTGAGACTAGTACGCGTGAGTTCGAGATGGGGTAGAGAGAAGCAAAACTATTCTGTCACCTGATTGGTGGGCAAGCACACGAATGAGAGAAAACAAGACAACTGGAACACTACTCGACCTATTTCCTGGCCACTGAACTCACTGGATTCACTGAATTCAGATTAGTGTAAAAAGATACATGAATAAATAAGTGAATAACCCGACCGCAACGTACAATAATTAGGAAAAATACAATTATGTCCAAAGTTGGGAATTACAGTATAAAATAGGGTGTAAAAACATTATGTTTAAATTACAATAGCTTCGGAACAGAAAAAGATATGACAGTGAATGATACATCGAACGAAAGCTTATGTTCTGTAGAATAGATTAGGGAAAAAATATATATGTCAGTGTTTTACAAGCTTTGAATAAAATGAAATAACGTCCCAAAAAATAACCTTCGTAGTTTGTCAGGACTTCTTGTTTCCTGGTTCACATTAATAATGCTTTTGTAACCGAGTTCTCACACTTATTCAGATCTTTTTTGTTTAGTATCTTTTCAGTCTGTTGATACTTGTTCTTGCTCTTAAATTTTCCTGAATAGAACGTGGGAGTATGTTTTCAGTTACTTTTATGTCTAACTTCATTACTTCAGGTAGTTTATTATCAGATCCTTCTTCTTTCTTTACGATTGATATGTATGTATATAGTTCCTCATTTTATGTTCTTTTTCTTTCTTGATTTATTTTCCAAAAACAAAAAAACAAAAAAAAACAAATAGATGCTTCAATCTAAAGCCAAAGAATCATCATCATCATTATCATTATCAACATCACAATTATTCCCAAAGAATATTAAGAGAAATGGACAAATCACTAAATCTTTATTATCATCGAAATTATCTCATTCAATAATATATAAAAAGTCTAAAATCAATAATCATTTTAATTCTATTAACAAATCAGATAAGAAATTATTTTTATCAAAACATTTCGGTTCAAAAAAACGTCATTGTTATCGTTATCATGAACAATTAGTAAAAGTATCATTAAAATTAAAACATAAAAAAACTCGTAAACAAAAACATGCAACAAACAAAATATATAAAATGTAATCTTATATATATACATATTCGTCAAGTAGTTTGTTTGTTTGTTTGTTTGTTTCTTTGATTACTGTTGTACAATTTATTTATTTTAAAAGGGGTTTTCTCAAGATATTTAATAATTTCAGTAGTTGAAATTATGAATCAATTGAAGGCTAGATTATTATAGAAAACCTGAAAGCACTGGGCTTCCAAATGCCCTGGTACAGCCGAGAGTGGGGAGAGTACGCTCTCCCTCGAAAAATGCTCTCACATAGCCATGCGTATATAGCCTCTACCAGGGAAGTTCTACTCACTGCCTTCTCGTGGCCAGGGTGTTGTTTACAAAAATGAGAGGACGAAAAGCGAATGTCTGGCGCTTTAACCGGATCCCAAACCAATGGTGCACATGGGCTGGCTCCAGTATCCTGCGGGAACAAATGGCGTATGAACCAATCGTTGGTCACCGGCTACCATGGGACTGCATCTCCTTACGATGCTCCACTGCCTTGTGGACCAGATCTTCAGGTCGAAGGCTCGGGGTGTGGCCCCCTAAGAAAACCACCTGCTTCGGTTTGGTCACCCAGGCAGTATCACAGCCCTCACACAAATCAATTGAGATTTGTGTTGCGTATATGTATTTGGTGCCTCCCTGTACCTATACTTATGTGTTAAAATAATAATAATAATAATGAAAGCACTGGACGATCGTCTCATTCTATTGTGAAACTCTTCAGCATTACGCATCCACGATCCCGCCCCCCTCCCGTAAAATTTGAACCCAGCACCTATCAATCTGACTCAATTTCGTGGATTAGTTGAAGTTCAACATTAGTACTGTCGGATTTTGGCTCACTGGTCTAACGGTTAAACGCTCGCACGCTAGACTGATAGATCCTGAGTTCGAATCCTGTGACGTGGGGTTGTAGATGTGCACTACTGAAGAGTCTCCAGTGCTTCCATGTTTTACATGGTGATCTCAATTATTATTGTTACTAAGTGGGTCAGTCATACTTAATGTAGAATATGATACAAGTGTGTGTACATAGATTCATGTTACCTCAACACCCTATTAGTTCAGTTAAATGAAATTGTCGAAATAAATCTCAGATAAGTAGAGGTATTAAAAAGAATAGGTATTTTAGAAGATAACATCGTTTAGTGGAATATATAAAGACAAAATATATTAGGTAATTTAAAAACTTAGGATATATGAGGAAAGCAAAAAGTGAATGAACGTGTACCATTACAAGTTATTTTGAGACATGTCATTGAAAGTCTCCAACTATTGGCAATTAGTTAATCTACGTCTACCTATGTACATGGCTCTGTTCAACATTCATTGTCATAGATTGATCGCATGTCGTTGTTTGACCCTCTCAGCTTCCTTCCAATCTACGCCTACACCAATCATCATCGTGTATCGCGGTAGTCGGTGAATAGGTACACGTAATACATGTCATAATTATCTCAGTCAAGATACATTCACTACTTCAATCGATTTGCTATACTTAGCTAATACTCCACTCCCAACGTTAGAATTGCAACTCAAAATACACGAGCAACAGTTTGAATACACTCACGATCGAACAATGGTCACTTACGTATATCCTCTATTTTCGAAAGCTTTTTGTCATAGCCTTATAATAAGCCGGAACGAACTGCTACATAATATACTTGTTCTTTAGTTAGTAAACATATATCTTGTCTACTCTGCATAAGACTCAAGTTGGTGAAAGACAAACGGGATTTCTGAATTCGTTCTAAGTCCCCAAGGCTGATGAAACTTCTAAATTAGGCAGTCATCGCACGCTCAATTACCTCACTACATGTTCTCAGTTTCGCCATGACCCACACCAGTCCTAGATAAATATTCTGAATTTAAAGATAAAGAGACCCATATCGAATATGCTTGTATTGTTGCTTAAGTCGATCAGATGTTTTCGCCAAAATGAACTATTTCATCTGCGTATTCTAAGTCATTAAGTGAATTTCCTGGTAGGAGGTAGATTCCTGAGAGTTGTGTATGAAAAATTTAAATAAAAATGACGAAAGTGGCAAATCTTCGTTTTGAGTTAACTAAGTAACTACTTTTCGCAAGTGTAATAGTTGGAACACTTGGATTTAATAAAAAAAAAAAAGAGAATTCAGCGAAGAAAATTTTCTTTTCGACGAAATCATTTACTTAACCTGTACATTCGTTTATATAGTTCGATATTGAAAATGTATGTCTATGGAAGGATGGAAAGGATTGTATCACAACAAAAAAAATGGATTCGAGAATAAATAACAAATGAGACAATGGTGTACGGTGGCGCAACTTCGTGGATTGGTTGAAGTTAGACATTAACACCGTTGGATGCCGGCTCAGTGGTCTAGTTGGTTAAGCGCCTGGCGCAAGACTGATAGGTCCTGGGTTCGAATCTCGCGAGGAGCGGGATCGTGGATGCACACTGCTGAGGAGTCCCATACTAGGACGAAACGGCCGTCCAGTGCTTCCAGGTTTCCAACGGTGGTCTAACATCAGTCGATTCATGATCTCAATCAAAAGCTTAATAATCTCCACAACCCCAATACTGATAATAGTCTAATTGACACAGATATGAAGAAAAGCGACAAACAACAAAGGTCATCATAATAAACTGAATAATAATCATGAAAACTTGAATAAGGTAATAATAATAATAATAATAGTTGACTAGGGTTTAAAATGCAAATTAGTAATTTTAAGAAATTCAATAATAATCAAAAATAAGAGTGCAGAAAAAAAAAAGGAACATACCTATTAAGGGAATTAGGGCCAAGGAAGGATGAGAGACTGGACAAATCGTTTCTGCACGCAAAGTTCTGGCTTGAGTTCGTGAATTGCCAATGCCTCAGCAGTGCATAATATATTGATTCGATACCCCTTCGATCCAATTCCTTTGACTCTGTAGATCACTTTAAAGGAAGAATACTTGGGAGCGGTGTGTCCACAATTGATTAAATTCTCTTGTTTGGAACTAGTGATTGTCTTACATTCTCCTTTTAAAAGCCAAGCCGGATAGTGTTCTGAGATGCGTTTGGACAGCGATCCCTTTGTTCAGCCTATATAACGAGCCCCACATGAGCACGTAAATTTATAAATACACATTGATGTGGCCCAAAGCGAAAGTTTATCTTTAACACATCTAGGAATGGTAGGCCGGCTTGATAAAACAATTCGGAGCTTGGCTGTGTAGAAAGTTTTATTCAATGATTTTGAAATCCGTTTATTTAAGATTTCAGCAGCCGTGTCTCCTTTAAATTCCATATTCATAAACAAGGTTTTCTTCTGTACTGTTGATACTTTCTCATGATGAATTCTAGGTGTTAAGTTACTATCGACGAATCTAGGTGGATAACCATTTCTTATGAGAGTTTGTCGAAGTTGAATTAGTTCTTCATCTATTGTGTCAATGGAACAGATTCGCTTGATCCTAGAGGATAAAGAATGAATTAAGTTCCTCTTTCTACTCAATGGGACCCAGCTATGGAAATTAGTGTACTGCCCATTCCAAGTAGGTTTTCTGTATATAGATCGCTGTAAAAGACCATCGGGCATTCTTTTTAATCGGACATCAAGAAAGTGAAATTCATGGTTTTCTTCTGCTTCTAAAGTGAATTCAATTGAGGGGTGACAATTATTGAAACTTTTCAAAATTTCAGTTAGGTCCATGTCTTCTTCACAAATAATGAAAGTATCATCCATATATCTCTTATATAAATGAAATCTCTCAATTATTGGGCGAAGTACCGAATTTTCTAGATTAGCCATGAAGCAATCAGCTAAGAGAGGATCCAATGGAGAGCCCATTGTAACTCCATCTACTTGTCTATAGAAAACATCATTAAATCTAAATTGCACGTTGAGCGTACATCGTAGAAGTAGTTCTTTAAGATAATGTTTTGGGATACACATATCAAGATTATTGTTTTCAATATAGTCACATAAAAAGCAAATTGTTTCTGTGAGAGGAACATTTGTGAACAGAGAAGTGACGTCTAATGAGAACACTTTTTTACCGGTTACGTTGATATTTCTAATTGAGTCGACAAATTCAAAGGAATCAAGACAATTGTATTTATTGATATGCATTTTAACAGGTTGCAAAATATCAGCTAACTATTTAGCGATCAAGTGATAAGGAGAGTTGTTCATATCAAATATCGGACGTAGTGGGACAGTATTCTTATGAACTTTTGGGAGCCCATATAGTCTCGGTATAACGGAACCCGATGGTTTAAGGTGTTCATAGAGGTCACAGTTGATAATAGACTCATCTTTCATTTTCTTTAAGATTTTAACTAGCATCTGTTCAGTTGCGTCTTTTTGAACGGTCTCTATGGAGAATTTGACCGGATCAGATAATATCGAAGATATTTTGGAGATATAATCAAGGCGATCCATAAGGACAATTCCTGCACCCTTGTCTGGGCGACATAACACTAAGTCCTGATTTCTCCAAAGGTCAGATAATTGAGATTTATGTTCCTTTGTGAGCAATCGATTAAATGTAGGTGTTTTATTTACATATTGATTACAACAATCCACAAGAGTTGTTTTGAAATGATCAAAATCTTTATTGGATACTGGGATGAGGTCATTTGTCTGACGAATGAGGCTTTCGAACTGAATTTTAGCGTTGAGCTCATTAATGTTAGTAGACGTACTACAAAATTTAGGACCAAGGGATAATGCTTGTAGTTGAATATTCGATAATGTTATACTTGAGTAATTGAAAACATATTCATCTGGAGATTCGGGAAAAGAAGCTTACGTCTCGGTCTGTTTTAAACTTCTCATTAATTTCAAGATCACATCATCAGTACGACTTTTGCTAACAATATCAATGTAATCTTTGAATTTGTAACGTTGATCTTCTGACAAATCAAATAATGTATGTGAACGTAATGAGATATTTCTTTCCAACTCTGGTATTCTAGACTTAATTTCATCGACATAATTGAGAGCAAGACGTTTCAAAGAGTGATGATTTGGATGAATATGGTTACGGTGTAATGATTTGAAAAATGGTTTCAGATATTCGCGTTTGTCTATA